ATTATTAGCTAAATTGATTAGAATTAAAGATTTCATCTTATAAGGGAGCAATAATGTCTTTGGCATGAAACACCACCATAATCAACAGTATGGGGTTAGCGCTTAAATGTACCTGTAAAAAATCAGAAACTGAAGCACCTGACCGTTTTAAAGCTGGCATAATGCATTGTATTATTTTTTCTCATTTCCCTCCAATTAAAATGATAACTGTCATGGAGACTGATAACTATTTTTATTAGAGGTTCATTTCCCAAATGACCAAAGGGTGAGATTTCACTTCTTAAGACTTTTACTACAACAAACTAAAATCTGCACAGCTCATGCATTTGTAGTTCGTTAATACATCACGGTAAACCAGAAGAAAAGGTTTGCACACATTAACAAAATTTATTGTGTCTTATAAAACATTTTTATTCAATGCCACCTTTCTGACAAATATGTGGCATTGAAAGAACGTACCCAAGGTCACCTTAGCTCTTCACTGCATATTCACCCCTACTCACTGTGCCAGGTTAAAACTTTCTCTTTTAACAATTGTTAGGGTGACCAGACACCTCCGTTTTGCCAGAACAGTCCTGGTATTCAGACTGTTTCCTCAAAATGCTCAAATGTCCCGATTTTCAGTTTTCCTGTTTATTCTGCGAGAGCTGGATAAGTTGGAATTGATTTCAAGTTTGTGTAAATGTCCTTGTTCTGCTGCACAGCCTGCAACACTCTATTACACTTCTGGATAACCTGTGGGATACATTTCCAGATGACGTCAGCAGAAAACAAGCTGCTGGATGGCAGGAGGCACTTGTGTGACTTGTTTGCATCGACAGAGTACAGTTTCCTCACAACTTAATGACTTGGAAAGATGAAAAATTATTTTCTTTTTTTGAATTTGTTCATGGACCTGGTGTGGTCCTATTCCTAATTTCCCAAAGGGCGAATAAGAGTCGACCCGTTTCTGTGCGTCTGGAGTCACATGTAGACCAGACCAGATAATGTGGCAGATTTGTTGTTTTTTATTCATTCACGGGATGAGGGTGTTGCTGGCTAGACAGCATTTATTGTCCATCCCTAATTGCCCAGAGGGCAGTGAGGAGTCAACCACTTTGCTGTGGGTCTGGAGTCACATGTAGGCTAGACGAGGTAAGGATGGCAGTTTCCTTCCCTAAAGGACATTAGTGAACCAGATGAGTTTTTCCAACAATTGGCAATGAATTCACAGTCATCATGAGATTCTTAATTCCAGATATTTTTATTGAATTCAAATTCCACCATCTGCCATGGCAGGATTTGAACCCAGGTCTCCAGAATGTGGTTTGGGTCTCTGGATTAACAGTCCAGCGTTAATACCGCTAGGCCAACGCCTCCCCTGTTTCCCTCAACAACGCTAGTGAACCAAATGGGTTTTTATGACAATTGACCCTGGTTGGATGGACACCATTAGGCTTACAATTTATTCTGGATTTTGCAATTGAATTGAAATTTCACCTTTTCTCTATAGGATTTGAGCTCCTATCCTCCTGGTTTCCCCAGGTGCTCCAGTTTCCTCCCACAGTCCAAACATTTGCAAGTGAAGTGGTTTGGCCATGCTAAATTGCCCATAGTGTCTAGGGATGTGTAGGGATTAGCCATGGGGATTGCAAGGTTATGGGGATAGTATAGAGGGTGGGTCTGAGTGGATGTTCTTCAGAGGGTCAGTGTGAACTTGTTGGACTGAATGGCCTGCTTCCACACTGGAGGGATTCTATGATCCTCAGAACATTGGCCTAAGCTTTGAATCAGTAGACCAGAGACTTACCGCTGCACCACTGGGCTTTTTCCTCATATACCTATGAAGCTGCAGTAAGAAGCTCATGTTGTGAAGGAGGATTATTTCAGAGCACTCAGTTTCCACTTTTGAGAATCTAATCACCCTAACCATTGTCCTGTTCTGGATGAGTTTCCCAGTTACAGTCATCATCAACTGGGCACACTTGAACAATTCCCCCATTCTTTAAATTGTCTAAAGTCCCTCTATTCTGTTTTATTTTTCTTATTGTCTTCTGTTCTCAAGAAGGGTCACTGGTCTTGAAATATTATTTCTGATTCTGTCTCCACAGAATCTGCCAGAATTCTGAGTTTCTCCAGCAATTTCTGTTTCTGTCTCAGATTTTCAGCATCCTCAGCTATTTGTTTTATTTAAATTTGCCTCCCATTCTGAAGTAGTGTGGAGTAATTTCTCAGCAAGCTTCTAATCATCCTATGTAGGAACACCCTACTTACTTTTGTAAGCTTCATTTACTAAATCACCCTTCGTGCTCAGAGAAGGAGACATCTCTAAAATGTTGTTGCTAGCCTTCAGTGCATTCCTAAAGGCACATGTTTCCGGTGTCTTCCCATTCAAGATGGAAAAGTATTGCTCCCAAATACATGTCCAGCTGAGTGCCTTACTCCTCCGCTTTGTTACAATCTTGACCATCAGGAAAGCCATGCTGTTGTATTATAAAGTTATGCCTTTATGAGCTTTGCTCATATTTGGGTTGCTTTCAAAACCACCTAATTTTGCTTCATCAAGGAACGTTTATTAAAGTTTCTCCATTTTCTGGTTTGGGTTTAGTGGTTTTTACCACAAAATATAAACCATGTTTGCCATTTTTGTTTGCATTTTATAAACCCCATATATCTGTTGTGTCTTTCCCTTCAATGTACTGTCCCACTTCTTAAAAACTTATGCCAGTACTCTGATACCTGTGTGGTTTCTGAGCAAGCTGAGAGTTTGTAGACAAGCTGTTGCAAATTTATTGGCATAATAATTAAGAAAATTTTCCTGACCTAAAATTGCTAAGTGCAAGAAACTAGTCTGTTTCTCATTTGATCACAGTGTGCGTTCCTTTCAGTGTATGCTCTGAATTAGGGTTTTGCAAGTAACATTCTCAGGAAAGCAAAGACTACAACTTTACAAACCAGTGCTAACTAATGTGGAAAACTTGATAAGTATGTTGAAGTTCAGTAGTCGAAGTTAATGACTTATGAATTAAAACATGTAGCCATTGCGGTTTCTCCATAAATACATTCACTTGTGGAATATTTTTTGTGGTACCTTTCTTTAGTGATTACTGAGCAGTACCGTATTTTAAGCTACAAAAATGTTACAGGTGCCATACTGCATGGTAAGATAAGCAATTAGGACAAAAGCTGCGGAAAAACATTCGGGAGCAAATTATCTTGTAAGTAAGAATATTGCAAAGAGCTACCAGGATCTGTGTAATATCAATTTCTGATGTTTTTAAAAGTTTTCACAATCCAAACCTTCATTTGAATTCAGATCCACAGAAAAGGGGATAAATGTAACTTAGAGTCTCAAAGTGACTTTGACAACCTTCGCAGAAATTGATTGAAGAAAAAAAAGAGTTTGCAGATGCTGAAAATCAGAAGCAAAATCAAATTGCTGGAAAAACTCAGCAGGTCTGGCAGCACCTAATGTAGAGAAAGCAGAGTCCATATTTCAGAACTGGTTCAGTTTTTGTTGATCACACTTTGAAGAAATTGATTGAGTTTTTTGAGTAATTGACAAAGATGATTGAAGGTAGGCTGGTGGATGTTGTCTACATGGACTTTAGCAAGGCCTTTGACATGGTCCCTCAAGCAGGCTGATACAGAAGGTGAGGTCACATGGTAACTGCGGTGAGCTGGTAAAATGGATACAGATCTGACTTGGTCGTAGAAGACAGACGGTAGTGGTGCAAGGGTATTTTTCTAAATGGAGACCTATAATCACTGGTGTTCCACAGGGATCAGTGCTGGGACACCTGTTGTTTGTTTTTATATTATAAATATATATGATTTGAAGAGGGAATGCAGCACAAAGGTTGGGGGAGCTACAGATAATGAGGAGGATTGCCAGAGGATATAGATAAGCTAGAGAAATGGCAGACATAATGCGAGGTGATGTATTTTGGAAGGTATAATGCAGGAGGAAAGTATACAGTAAATGGTAGAACCCTTAGAAGCATTAATGTACAGCAGGATCTAGGCATACAGATCTACAGTTCCCTTAAAGTGATAACACAAATGAATAAGGTGGTCAAGAAGGCGTATGGCATGCCTGCTTTCATTGGTCAGAGCATAAAGTATAAAAAATTGGCAAGTCATGTTGCAGCTGTATCAAACTTAAGCCACATTTGGAATATTGTGTACAGTTCTGGCTACCATACTACTAGAAGAAAGTGAAGGCTTTGGAGACGGTACAGAAAATGTTTACCAGGAGGTTGCCTGGTCTGGAGGGTAAGCTATGAAGGAGAGATTGGACAAACTTGGTTTGTTTTCACTTGAATGTCAGAGGATGATGGGGCAAACCTGATGGTTTACAAAATTGGGAGGATTAGATAGAATGGGTAGTTGGAATCTTTTTCCCAGTGTAGAAATCTTTTTCCCAGTTTACTAGAGGATATATTTCAAAGGTAAAAGGAGAAACTTTTTAAAGGAGATGTGAGAGGCAAGTTTTTTTTTTAACGCAGAGGGTGGTAAGTGCCCAGAATGCACAGCTAGAGGAAGTGGAAGAAGCAGATACAACAGCAACATTTAAGAGGCATCTTGACAGATATATGAATAGGTAGGGAATAGAGGGATACGGACTGTACGGAGGCAAAAGGTTTTTAGTTTAGAAAAGGTGCCATCTGCCAGTGCAGGATTAGTGGGCCAAAGGGCCTGTTCCTGTGCTGTACTATTCTTTGTTCTTTGGTCACATAAGTAGCAAGTGCATTTCGACTTAGGTAAATGTAAGGAGTTATATTTTGGTAGGGAGAATATGAAGGCCCCGTACTGGTTGGATGATAGAGTCTAATCCTAGATGGCAGGAAATGCTGTACACCTGGTGTTGAAAGCAAGAATGATGCTAAAGCTGAGACGTGATGCTAAAGCTGAGACATTATGCTTTTCTGGATGTTTTCCTAAAAGTGATGAATGTATGTATATAGTATGAACTTGTGACACAGATTTCTGACCCAGTCTAATTCTTGTCCATGTGACAGCTGCTGTTAGAACACCAAGAAGCTATTTCACCAGATCATAATGACCTATTGCATGAGTTACTGGAAGGACTGGGAAGTGTACCTGATGTTGAAACTCTGATTGGTGAGTAAGTTAAGAATTGAATGTAGATTTTTTGGGCTAAGAACCTGGTTCATCCGGAGTGGATAAACTGATCTTTTTCAAAATTGGAAAACTCTGCTTTCCCAGATTTCAGATTTAGCCACAATTAAATTCACCTATTTTTCAAAATGATCAACTTCTAGTTTAATTTTTGCTGAAAAATATTGTGGCAAAGAAATAAATCATCCAATAGTTTGAATAATTAACCAGATAACGCAGCAAATCGGAAATTTAGTAAGCAACCAAACTTCCGTTTATTTGGCACCTTTTAGCTATCTTGACTATCTCTGAAGGAAAAAAGGGTGCACTGGTCATGTCACTGGATTAGAAATCTAGTGGCCCAGGCTTTCTGGGAATGTGAATTCAAATCCTACTGCAGTAGTTAGTGCTACTTAAACTTAATTAAGGTCTCTGGAATGTAAAGCTAGTCTTGATAATGATGCCATGAAACTGCCATTGCTTGGTTTTTATGACAATCTATCTTGCTAATGTCCCTTGGAAACATAGAAACTAAGATCAGGAGTAGGTTATTCGGCCCTTTTGAGCCTGCTCCACTGTTCAATATGATCATAATTCGCCTTCTATCTCAATGCCTATTCCTACTTTCTCCCATATCACATGATACCTAAAAAAAATTATCAATCTGTTTCTTGAATATATTCAGAGAGTTGGCCTGCACAGATTTATTACCATTTGAATGAGGAAATCTTCCTTCATTTCAATCCATTTTGAGTTCCAGACTCCCAAACTGGAGAAGATATTTCTGCATCTAGTCTGTCTGGCCCTGTTAGAATTTTGTTTCAATCAAATCATCTCTCATCATTCTAAACACTGGTGAACACAGGCCCAGGTGAACCAATCTCTGCTCATAGAACTGTCCTGCCATCCCAGTGTCAGTCTGGTGAATCTCTGCTGCATTCTCTCAGTGGTAAATATAACTCAACCCTACTTCTGAACACATTGGCCTTCATTGTGGCACAGTGGCTTGGTGGTTAGTGCTGCTGTCTCTCAGCGCCAGGGACCTGGGTTCAATTCCAGCCTTGGGTGACTATCTGGCTGTGTGGAGTTTGCGTAATCTCCCCATGTCTGCGTGGGTTTCCTTGCACAGTCCAAAGATGTGCAGGTTAGGTAGATTGGCCATGCTGAAATTGCCCATTGCATCCAGGGATATGTAGGTTAGGTGGGATTAGCCTTGGGAAATTCAGGGTTACAGGGATAGGGTAGGGAGTGAGTCTGGTTGGGATGCTGTTTGGAGAGTCACTGTGGACTTGTTGGGCTGAAGACAGAGACAACAAGGTGCAGAGCTGGATGAACACAGCAGGCCAAGCAGCTCCTATGATGCTGCTTGGCCTGCCGTGTTCGTCCAGCTCTGCACCTTGTTGTCTCGGATTCTCCAGCATCTGCAGTTCCTACTATCTCCTTGTTGGGCTGAAGGGTCTGTTTACCCACTAAGGTTTCTTCTCATGCTGTCATAAAAAATGTTTGCATGCTTTATATCTTGATAGTTGGTAGGTTTTTGTCTCGATATTACATAACTTCAAGAACCGTTTAAACAAAAGAGGTTGCATGATACCAAAAGTACCAGTTTTATCAGTAAAACCTGCTTCAATTTCTTTTTTCCTAGGGGAGGGCGCAGTTGACCCAAATGACCCCAACAAAGAGAATGTACTTTCCCAGCTTGCAAAGACAGGAGTCTCTCTCACGCTGACCAGCAAGATTGATTTGCGAGAGGGGGATGACAGAGACATGAAGATTTTGATGATAAAGTAAGCTTTCTCAAATAATGTCTGACCATCTGGTTTTGTAGATTAACTTTTTCCTTCTTTCATAAAGCGAGAAGTGGATATGGCCAATTGAAGCTGCAAAATACTGGTGTATTCTGCAGCATCCAACTGTGATTGATATGTTAATCTCAATATGTCTCAACTCTCCTAATTTTAATTGTGACACCCTAACACTATAAAACTCTCAAACTAATCCAATAGTTTTTATAGAGCGTCAAAGCAACTATGTTCCTGCCCAAGCATGAGTTTATTGAATCTTACAAAGCCAATTTACTATTTCAATTGATAGCTTATTAGTTGAAGAAGTAAACTAGTTTTGTAATATTTCTAACGGTAGCTCAGTGGTTAGCGCTGCTGCCTCACAATGCCAGTGACCTGGGTTCGATTCCACCCTCAGGCGACTGTCTGTGCGGAGTTTGCGCATTTTCCCCGTGTCTGCATGGGTTTCCTCCGGGTGCTCCAGTTTCCTCCCACAGTCCAAAGATGTGCAGGCTAGGCAGATTGGCCATGGTAAATTGCCCACAGTGTTCAGGGATGTGTAGATTAGGTGGGGTATAGGGGGATGGGTCTGGGTGGGATGCTCTGAGGGTCAGTGTGGGCTTGTTGGGCCGAATGGCCTGTTTCCACACTGTAGGGATTCTGCAATAAAAAATGGAAAAAAAAAGGTGCAGAAGAGATTCGCCAGGATGTTGCGTGGGGTGGAGTATTGAAGCTATGGAGAGAGATTAGATGGGTTGGAGTTCTCTTCCTTTGAGTAGAGAAGACATAGGATAGTTAAGGTGATATTTTTTGCCTTGGTAGAGGGATCGGAAGATAGATGCAGACTCGTGCGCCGTATGGCATCTTTCAGCGCTATAGGGATTCTATGATTCTATTGCACAGACTCAATAGGTAGAGGGGCCTCTTTCAGTGCTATGAAACTCTGATGTTTGAATCGCCAGTTTATGTAGTATCTTGTGCTGTTGTGAATTTTCTCTTTCTGTAAGCCAACTGAAGTACACTCTGACACAAGTCACAATTTATAACCAGTCACTGACTTATTTTCTATAGAACACATGAATGCACTACTCACAAGTAAACTAATCAATTTCCTGTGCTTTGCACTCTCAAAAAATATTGACTAGGTTGATTTTGCTGTTAAAATCTGATTGAGTTGAGACTCAAATTCAGATTGCCTGCTTTGTAGAAAATATTGAATTTAACGTCAGAGAATTTCTCTAATTCAAATATTCAGATTAGGCAATTACAAATTACAAATTCCTGTGATCAGTAGTTAATTCCTTGTAGTAAATCTTCGTGGCTGTTATCCAAGTTTTTAGCTCAGTTGGCTCCACAGTGGGGAAACTATAAAATATGTGAGCTTGGAATAAGTGGTAAAACTGTTTTCTTAGTCATTTGCTTATAGATTTAGGACATGTGTACACTTGACTAACACTTTGGTGCAGAATTGCAGAATACGGCATTGCCAGAAGCGCAGATAAATTTTAAACTAACGCCCTCTGTCTCTTCCAATGGTGCAGGTAGATGCAAGAGTGACTCTGAACAACAAAAATCATTTGTTTTTCCAGCATCTTAGTCATCATTCCCTCTAGAATTAATATTGGCAAAATCAGATTTGTTTGTTCCATTTGGTGAAATGTTACTTTGCAAAGGTTATGTGCTGCATTTGCTGGCTGGTCATGCCAATGCAAATTAAGGGTACCTAAGTGCAGTGGAACATTTGAAAGAACTAATATATGTATTCTACAAATGCAAATCTGTATGGCAAAGTTACCATTTCAGATGTTATAATGTTCTATGGTGGTTGAGACTTTCCATTATTGCTCTTTTTTCCCCCAAGGAAAGGCAATAAAATTATTGTATTCTTTAACTTATTTACCACTACACCACCATCTCACCCTGTTAATGTTACTGAAATAGTAATCTAGAGTCCCAGGTTCATTTTCTGGAGACATGGGTATAAAACCCATCCATTTTAGACAGTGAAATTTGATGATTCGAGCAGGAGGGACAAAGAACCAGACAGCCACTTCTTGCTGGCTTGACTTTGGTCAGAGAGTCAACAAGTGACGTGTTATTGGAATCTGGTGTTTAAATTGAGCGAGCTTCCCTGTTACCTCCCCAGAATGGCCTCAGCAGCTCAATTTGCAACATTTCCACTTGGAAATTAAAGTTGATCCCCTGATGCTTATTCAAGTTAAATGTCAACTATGGATTATTCCTTAGATTTAGAAATTTCCACTGGCTCCGTTTTAGGTTATTTTTCTACCTCATTTTCTTTCAGACTAAGCATATGGTGAGCTGCCTTTTTTTGTTGGAGATAGTCTTTTTTTTCAAGAAATGCAACAATTTACATTTATTTACTTTGTCAAAACCTATTCTAAGATTTGACCTTGAAATATTCTTTGAACGTGGGGCAATGTAAATTTGATTTTCATACATCAAGGTTAAGTTTGACTTGTTCCTTTAGAGGACAACCTATTACCTTGCAAATTCATTTAAAGTTGGCATTGAAATGTGGTTTGACCATATTGACTTTGTCAAAGATTTGAAATTCCTTTCTAACTTCAGTTTCCAAAAGCTGTATAGACAAAAACAAAATCTAGTTTAACCACAATCTCTCAACCACAGCATATGACTCTCACATCCTTGATCTTTTATTCTTGGTCTCCGTCCATACAACACAACCAGTTTGTTCCAGATTTTTGTTCTTCGTCATGTGCTTCTCATTTTCTCTTAGTCTGTCTCCTGTAATTTTACACGGTTCAGTCTGTTGTACTAGTGCTGACTGTTCAAATTCTGTCCCACACCCCAGTTTTCCCCCAAACTTTGCAAATTTGACATCTTCAAGCACATGCCCAATTGTCTTTTAAAATCTAATTCCATGACCCTTCCAGGCAGTGCATGCTAGAACTTAATGATCCTTTATAAAGAAATTTATCCTTGCTTCCCCTCTAGTTATTTTTTCATTTATTTTAAATTTGAGGTCACTCTACTTACCCTGTTGCCATGGAATATAGTTTCTCTAAATTTGTTGTATTAATATCTTCACTTTAGACTACTAATAAGTGTTCCTGTAAACTTCACTGCTCTAAGAAGAACAATCCACTTTTTAAGTCTCTCAACACAGCTAAACTAGTCTGCTGCCGATCCCTGAGCAGGTTTGTAGGTAAGTTGTACCTGTGCCTTTAATACCATGAACGTCTACCTTCAGAATAATTCTGTTCTTTCGTCCCACTTTCTCACTTTTCCTCTCTCACTCCTCCCAAATCAAACTCCAAAATTTTGTTTACTGGTTCAGCCTGCCCGTACTATCTTAAGCATTTCTGTGGTCAAAATTTAAAATTTAAAATTTAGAAGTAACTGCATCAGAAGGCAGGCTGGAAAAATCCTCTAAAATTAAATTGGTAACTTTTTTTTTCTAATCTGTGTGGAAATAGGGATTCTGATGTGGATTAGCAGATTTGGGACCAATAATGCCTTGGGCCTGGATTTCTGCCAGGAATGGAAAACCACTCTCCCTTGACAAAAATGGTGGATGAGCCGAAAAATGAGAACTTCCGTCCACCTCCACCCACCCCCCACCCCCAAAAAAAGACCCTTACAAGTTTCCACTGGGATGGGAATGTGGCAGAATTATGCTCTGCGCATCTCAGTTAGTTGGAGGCCACATGGGAAGCCTATGTCTAATAAGTATCTGCCTCCGCTCCTGTAATGACCTCAACATGAAGTGTCAAGATTAGACCCAATGGGAACCAGATTGAGCCTTGTGAATTGTCTTGGATCGCCAGAGTTTTGGAGAAGCAGAATACCCCTTTGAAAATGATACTGGATGCCTTTAAGGAGAGGAAGGGATTATTAAAAGTAGACATGAATGTATGCAAAAAGTAGATAACAACATTAGCGTATCAACAGATTTATCAAAGGCAGCAATTGAAAGGGTAAATGAAAGCAGTGAAGGTGTTTAAAAGTCTTTTTTTCTTTTTAAATCCTTGAACAAAATGTCTGCTGTGTTTTATCAAAAATATCATTGCTTGATATTTTGCTATCTGTTAGCATGAGCATGCGGTTTTCCATTACTGGATTAATGCTGCATGATGGATTTCACAAAATCCATTTTTGCAGTCAGATACCTGCCATTTCCCACTTTGACAGCTCCAAGTGGTTATAAAGTGTGAATTGGGTTTTTGAATTCCAATGCTCGTTCTAAGGAATATGCACTTCAATGAAATGCTTTTTGTTATGAAGCATTCTGCAGTTGAAGAAATGTACATGTTGTAAATGGATTTTCAATAGTGTTTTCTTTCAGATAGAAATATTGCAGTATTCACTTTGAACATTATTTCATCTCTAAATGGACCCTATGGTCTGCCCATGTAGATAATGAGTTGTCATTGGTAAGTGTAAGGCAAAATGTGATAGTTGGTGGGAGGGCATGAATTGCTGCTTAGTTGGCATCAAGGGAATGAAGTCACTGTAGGAGGAGGCTCCACAAATATCCCCATCTTCAATAATGGGGGAGCTATTTGTATGAAAGAGAAGGCTGAAGCATTTGCAACGATTTTGAGCCAGAAGTGCGGAGTGGGTGATTCATTTCTGCCATCTCCTGAGGTCTCCAGCACCACAGATGCCAGTCTTCAGATGGTTCAACCTGCTGCACATAATATTAAGAAACGATTGGAGGCATTGGATACTGCAAAGGCAATGGGCCTGACAACATCCAACAATAATACTGAAAATTCCAGAATTTGTCAGACCCCCTAGCCAAGCAGTTCTGTTGCAGCTACCCAACCATGTGAGAAATTGTCCAGTTACTTTCTGTACATAAAGTGCAGGCCAAATTCAACCCAACCAATTGCCACACCATCAGTCTACTCTCAATCATTGGTGACCTGCTCACTGACATCCAGTTTGAGTTCTGCCAGAGCCATTCAGGTCCTGACCTCATTAAAGCCTCTCGAGTCAAGCAAATGTGCATTTTC